TCGTACGCTAAGATGTGGTGGGCGTGGGGGGGGGGGTGAAGGGGGTGGGGGTACGGCTATATCCCCGTCGTCCCACATCTCGCCAGTTACGCAAGCTTCTCACGCGCGTCTGCGGCACGCGCAGGGGGACTCTCTCAGCCTCTCTCTTCCCCGGGTCACGTTCCCCAGCACCCCTCCCTCCGCCGTCCACAGACGAGCCCCTGCTGTTAATAAGGCGCTGGAGCGGCGGCCGTAATCTGCTTTCCGTCGGAAAGACGAAGGCGGATGAGGCGGGGGGGGGGGTTGGGTGAGGTTGAAAAGCGCCTTAGCGAGACGCGCGACGCTTTCGCTGACTCGACGCTCTGAGAGATCGTCTAGTGCGGTGGGGGATGGGGGGGGGGGTTGGAAGGGGGGGGTGACAAGGGGCGGGGGAGTGGGGGTCCGATAGCCCCAGCCAGGGGGTTGGGCGGGTGATAGCCACAAACCCTGACCAAGCGAAGTGCGGCCTGATGGGATCTAGCGCCGTGGGTGGAGGCGGGAGAGGAATTATAATTCTAATCAGACGGGGGTGGGGGTGGGGGGGGACCTGTCGGAGTTTGAGACGCACGACCACAACAGATTTTGCTCCCAAAGGCGATTACGGTGGTCCGTGTCCTGTAGACATCTCGCCCCCGTTGTTGTTGTTGTTGTGGTTATTAATCAATCACCATCGCCGCATCGGAGACGGCAGGAGGAGCCAAGTCCTATCTACTGCTGGGTGAAGACCTCCGCATCAAACCGCCGCCATCTGGTGTCGTTCAGTGGCCTCGCGGTGCAACCACCCAGCAGCAGACGGGTTCCATCGCTCCATCTCCGCGTGCCGCGTGTGTTCACACGGGATGCGTTCCGTTCCTCTTGCTGGCCGCCGCTCGTTCCTTAGTCCTCCTCACCACCACCACCATCCTCTCTTTCAGCAAATGCCGCGGCCCCCACTCGCATTCCTTAAGAGTCGCCGTGACGTCTCCAACTTGCGCTGCTTCCTCCGCCGCACGCGCTCCCCTTCTCTCTCTCTCTCTCTCGGTGCGATTCTAAGCACGCGCCTGCCCTACGCCGCTTTAACAACACGATTGAGCTTTTTGTTGTTGTTCCATTTTTTCCTTTGTCAGAGCAGATACTATACACTGATTAGACATATTGTGAATCTGTATTCTTAAACTATAATTCATCATCAAAGAATAGTTTGAAAGTCATTTTTTCTCAATCCACCTATGCATGAAATCTCCCCCAAGATTTTGAGACACGGCGAAGCACTCCTGCCTGAATACTAATTATAGCATTATTGATCATATTATCACAGTGTTGGTGGGGCGGCCCAATGGGCAGCATCGCCGAACTTGCAATCCAGAGGTATCCGATTCGATTCGATTAATGTTGAGGTTCTGAACTCCCTTCATCTCTGCCCATCCAGCAGTACAAATGGGGAAACCGCAGTTAGTCTGCGGGCCGCATCTGGTGGGGTAAAGTGTGGGTACTCAAACGTTTTAAAATCATCATTAAAGACAACCGGTCAACGGAGGAAAATTCTGCCAAAGATGTCCTCTCCAGAATGACTCTTGAGAGCTCCTCCCAGCGGGGGACCTTCCGACAGCAGTGGCGATGAGAAAGTAATTACGGAGCTGCACCTTTACCTGTTTTAATATTCACCTTAAGGTAAGGTCAGGAAGGGAACGAAGAGGTGGGATGATAATTTTCTGTCCTGGTGTTCCCCGTCGGCTACAGTTACGCAAGGGCGCCACGGTTCGCGAGATGTTAATTACCTCGCCCGGTATACATGAGCTCTCGAGTTCGACCCCGACCCGGTTGTATATTTGGAGTTTGCGGTGTCTATCTTCCCCGTGGTCGCGTGGATTTTTCTCCGGGTCCTCCAAGTTTTCCCCCTCCACATTTTGAATCGACGTCACGCGTTTAGAGTTTTTGCCTGCGATATATTTCCACGTGATACGCCGCTTCGTTGAGCAATCATTTGTGATATCCGGGTCACTTCTGAAAATTGCTATACAGCCCAGTGGGCCTTACCTGATAAAATAAACAAAAATAATAGTTGCATCTGGCCCTGGGAACAGCTAAAAGTGAACAACACCGAAGAGGAATGCATCCTGGTTTTAGATATTGATTCCTGGGATTCGCCTTCAGCACGGCTCTCTGTGTCTCGATCGGGAGGCAACGTTCGCTAAGGGGGGAGGAAGAAATTGCTGCTGGGAATGAATGAATGAATGAACAGCGGGGTGGGGTTGGGGCGGTTTGGCGGATGTCACGCGCCTTGTTAGGAAAGTAATTTTGAGACCCTTGTCAGAAAAAAACCCCCAAAAAACCCCGTGTCGAATTGCAACACGCCTCGGGGATGCAGGCGTCCTGGCGTGAGTTATTCAATGTCATAGCACACCTGTCGGGTCAGAGGCCTGCCAAATGCGGAGTTGTTATTGCAGACACGCGCACACCGCAACGTCTCGCCGACGTCTTGGTGCGTGCGCTCCAGACGCGCGCTGCTCCCGTGCGGCGATCAAATTCTGCCCCGCGAATTTAAAAAGAAGTCGCGACGAGCATCCCACGCTGAAGTGGGAGATGGTGGGTGGGCTAACGCCTTCATGGGAAGCCTTCATCCAGCAGTGGAATGATCGTGGCTGATGATGATGATGACGATGTAATAAGGGACGACTCACGAGGAAGGTGGTGTGGCGAGCACCCACGCCTTAGTCTCGCAGTGTTAATGTTCACATATGACGCTGCGTCCTCATTTGAGGCTGAGCAGACCTAACCGTGGTGGGAACAGAGCGGCTATAATAATCACGCGTCCTTAATGTCGTGCGTGGCTGGGAGTTGAACCCACGCTAGAGGCAAACATACAGAGGTAAAGATCGTCCCCCCCCCCCCCATATCCTTAACAGACGCTTGGGGCAAGTGCTTCTAGCGAGCACCTATGAAAGCCGGAATCGAACACGAGGGGAGGGGGTGGGTGGACAGAGCCACGCCCGGTCGCCTTTGTATCCCCAGGGCCGTTTGTTAATATACCGCGCCAGATAATCATTTTGAGGCTGCCCCCCCCACCCCGTCACACACACACGCGAACCTTTCAACACAGAAACACTTTTACGAAGATGTCATGCAATACCTTACATATACTGTTGGGGCAAGTGCCCTTTAGTCGCATCTATCACTAAGACAAAGATCCCCCGTATAGCCTGTAACAGACTGTAGGGGCAAGTGCTTTTAGCGAGCACCTATGAAGGCCGGCACGGCACACGAGGCGGTGGGTGGCCAACACCACGCCTGGCCGCCTTTGTCTCCCTAAGTGGCGATGTTTACACACCCCCATTTGAGGCTGAGTCGACCTAGCTACACTGGGGGGGGGGGGGGTATTTGTATAATCGTCACCGGTGTTGGCCGTGAGCGGTAATCGAACTCGAGTCGCCGAGTTCGTAGCGTGGCGCACTAACCGCTACACTACCGCTCCCCAAACACCCGGACCCACATCCACACAGAAACACCTGCAGACCCGCGCACACACCCACGCAGAGAACGACGAATCCAAACAAAGACGCATGCTCATACATACACGCAGGCCACACACGTGCTCGCATACATACCTACAAGCGCACAAAGACACTTAGAGACACACACACACGTACCGATACACATACACACAGACACAAACACAGTGGTCTTCAGATACACAAACACACGTAGACCACACGCATACATGCACAGAACACACAGGCACACACACACACAGAGACGCTTGCAGAAGTACACACGCACACACAATACAAAGACACACGGGTTTACACGTATATACTTTTGTATAGACTCTAGGGACACGTGCTATTCGCGGGCACCAATTAAACCACACGCACATACAAATACCCCCCCGTATAGCTTTTGACAGAATGTTGGGGCAAGTGCTATTCGCGAGTAGCACCTATGAAGGCAGGCACGGCGCACGAGGGGGTGGGTGGTCATAACCATGACGCGGCCGCCTTTGTCTCCCCAGTAGGCACTCATTTAAGGCTGAGTCGACGTTGAGGAGGCTCAGAATAACGAGCGAGAATCGAAGTCGATTCGCCGGGTTCGTATCGTAGTGCGCTAACCACTGCAATACCGCTCCCCATACACAAGATAAAGATTCCCCGTATAGTCTTTAATATACTCTTCGGGCGAGTCCTGTTACCAAGCACCTCATATACACATACAAAGGTACCCCGTATAGCCTTGACAGACTGTAACATTCGCAGACAGTAGGGGCAAGTGTTGTGAGCGAGCATCTATTAAGGCCAGCACTCGACACGAATGGGTGGTGGATGGCTAGCATCACGCCCGGCCGCCTTTGTCTCCGCAGTGGCGATGTTTACTACGCACCTCACCAGGTACTCATTTGAGACTGAGCCGATCTAGGGGGAGGCCCAGGACCGGTTCAGAATATAGTCACGGGTATTGGCCATGAGCGGGAATCGAATTCTTGTTGCCGGGTTCCCAGCGCAGTGCACCAACCGCTGCATAGTGCGCTAACCGCACAACAAAGACACCAAAGACAAAGACCCCCCGTATAGCCTCACCAGACTCTTGGGGCAAGTGCTGTTCACGAGCACCTATGAAAGCCGACACGGCACGCGAGGGGGTCGGTGGCCAGGACCACGCCAGGCCGCCTTTGTCTCCCTAGTGACAATTTTGTTTTTTACCCATCGCACCAAGCACTAATTCTGAGGCTGAGCTGACCTAGGGGAGGCCCATGACCGGTTGAGATAATCGCTTCGCGCAACACAACACACCCGGCCTGCGCTCAACGCACGAAGGCAACCGCGGACGCGCTCGACTCGACCCAAAAGCGACCCCGGCAGAAACACGCACGCGCACTTGCGCGTGCGCGCGCACACGCGCGCGCAACGGAACGCGCACCCGCAACGAGGACCCGGCGCACGCGGAGGCGTCGCCGCGCCCATTGGCCACGACGAGACGGCGACAGACGCCTCGACCCCGCGCGCCCTCACCTGCTTGGTGAGCTTCTGGACGTTGGCTCTGAAGCCGCTCTGCGAGCTGCTCTCGGACACGCTGAAGTGGTCCGAGCTCGTGGACGAGCGCTTGGACGTCGACTCGCCGCCTAGCCCCACGAAAGTGTTGTCCGCCGGCAGCTCCTGGATCACGTTCTGGTTCTTGGACAGCGGCGGCGTGTGCGCGTGCGGAGACACGGCCATCTGGGGCGACGTGGAGCGGTAGTGCTTCGCCAGGTCCGGGCTGTCGCTCGTGCGGTCGGGCCTGAAGGTGTTGTGCCTCGGGATGGTGCGGCAGTCCACCTCCAGCTCCTCCAGGGTCTCGTTGATGGTCTGGTAGGTCGGGTCGTCCGACTTGGGCTCCTCGATGGTCACGATGCTGTAGGGCGCCGTCTTCACCTGGCTCTGTTGCTGCTGCTGCTTTTTCTTCCGCTTCTTCTTGCGATTCTTGCTCTGCTTGTCCTGCTGGCTTGGCGACAGCCAATTCTCGTTCTCCTTGCTGCGACACACGCCGCTCTTCATCCTGTTGCCGCGGCAGCGCAGGAAGAGCACCACCACGATGACCAGGATGATGACGATCATCGCCCCCGCCACCATGGCGATGATGGTCGTGTAGCGGTTGATGTCCGACTGGGTCAGGCCGTCGCCGATCACGTCCACGTCCAGGGGCAACTTGAGGCTCTTGGTGATGAGCTCCTGCACGTAGGACGCGTTGCCCACCGTCTCGTTCACGAACAGGTTCACGAGCACGATGCTGTAGAGCGACTCGGGGAAGCCGGCGTCGTTCACCCTCACCACGAGCCTGTGCAGCCCCTGGTGAGCGGGCAGCAGCTTCTGCGTGAGCGTGATGTTGCCCGTCGCCTGGTCGATGGCGAACAGGTTGAAGGGGTTTCCTCCCACCACGCTGTACGACAGCTCCGCGTTCTCGCCCGAGTCGATGTCCGTTGCCATCACCTCGGCCACCGAGGTGCCCGGCGAGGTGGACGGCGTCACGAGGCGGTATGAGGCGTTGGAGGGTGGCAGCAGCACCGTGGGCGCGTTGTCGTTGATGTCCATGATGTGGATGGTCACCTTGGCCAGCGAGGTCTTGGGCGGCTCTCCGGCGTCCACGGCCTGCACCTGGAACGTGTAGGAGGGCTTCTGCTCCCTGTCGAAAGAGATGTTGGACTGGATCATGCCCGTCACCGGGTTGATGGTGAAGATGTCGCTGTTGCCCACCAGCGAGAAGGTGACCAGGGCGTTCTTTCCCTCGTCCGCGTCCGTCACGCTGATGACGCCCACCGTGCCGAAGCGCGGCAGGTTCTCGGAGAGGAAGAAATTGAACTCTTTGTTGTTGAACTTGGGCGGGTTGTCGTTCTGGTCGAGCACACGGATGACCACCGTGGCGTTGCCGTGCATGGAGGGTGCGCCGTTGTCCCTGGCGATCACGGAGAAGCGGTACAGGTTCCTCTCCTCCCTGTCCAGGGGCTCGGCCACGGACAGCACCCCCGTGGTAGGGTTCAACCTGAAGGCGGGCGGCGCGTCGGGCCCCAGGTAGTAGTGCATCTGCGCGTTCTTGCCGCTGTCCCTGTCGCCCGCGGCCAGCGTGACGATCTGCGCGCCGGGCGCGTTGTTCTCGTAGGCCGTGGCCTCCACCACGCCCGGGCTGAACACGGGCGGGTTGTCGTTCTCGTCCCGCAGCCGCACCACCACCGTCGCCGTGCTCGACATGCGCGGCGAGCCCAAGTCGGTGGCGACGAGACGCACGCTGTACTCGTTCTTCGTCTCGAAGTCGAGCAGGGCCGAGGTCTCGAGCAGGAACTGGTTCTCGTGGTTCTGGTAGGCGGGCTTCAGCTGGAAGGGAACGTCGCCCTCGATGCGGCACGTGACGCGGCCGTTCTGCTCCAGGTCGGGGTCGCTCACCTCGATGAGGGCGATGGGCGTGTTGGGAGGAGCCGCCTCCGTCAGGTGGATGACGCCGTCCACGGGCGAGATGATGTCGTGCACCGCCACGGAGGGCGCGTTGTCGTTCACGTCGGCCACGGACACGGTGACCGTGGCGGTGGCCGGCACGGGGTTGGGGCCTCGGTCCGTGGCCAGCACGACGAGACGGTAGAGCGCCGTGTCTTCTCGGTCGAGGGGCCCGCGCACCGTGATCACGCCCGTCAGGTTGTCCAGCTGGAAGAGGCGACGCGCCGGCGCCGACACGCGGCCGCTGTACGAGTACGTCACCTCGGCGTTCGAGCCCAGGTCCGCGTCGGTGGCGCGCAGTTGGATGACCGGGGTGCCGATGGGGGTGTTCTCCGGGATTTTCACCTCGATCTGCGACTGCTCGAACACGGGGTGGTTGTCGTTCACGTCCGTGACGGTCACGCGCAGGATGGCAGTGCTGGAGCGCGGCGGGTCTCCCCCGTCCTCCGCCTTCAGCTTCATCTCGTACACCTCCTTGCGCTCGCGGTCCAGGCTGCCGCGGATGAGCAGCTGCGGCGATTTCTCCCCGTCGGCACCCTCTATCACCTCGAGCGTGAAGGCGTTGCCCGTGTCGGTGAGCGCGTACCGCTGGATGCCGTTGAGTCCGGCGTCCGGGTCGCCGGCGGCCTGCAGCGAGAACCGCGTGCCCACGGGCATGTTCTCGGCGATGGTGAGGTTGATGACGGGCGACGGGAAGCTGGGCACGTTGTCGTTGATGTCCTCCACGAGGATCTTCACCTTGATGAGCCTGAAGTACTGGTTCGGCAGCACGACCACCTGCACCTCGTGGTAGCAGCCGGCCTCCTCGTCCGCCACGTCGGGGCACAGCTGCTCACGGTCGATGCGCGTCGCCGTCGTGAACAGCTCCCCGGTGTCGTTGCGCACGCGCACGAGCGGCGAGCCCTCGTACTTGGAAACTATCTTGTAGGTGAGGCCGGGCCCCAGGGCTCGCAGGTTCAGATCCCGTGCCAGGTTCCCGATCAGCTTGTTCGCGGGAAGCTCCTCGAACACGCGGTAATTTACTTCATCGGCGCGTCCGGGCACCAGGGACAGCAGCAAAAGCAGCATCAGCAGCGGCGGCGGCGGCGGCCGCAGCCGCTCGCCCGTGGGTTCCCTCATCCCCACGCGCTCTTCACCTGCACCCTGGCCCCCGCCAGCGACAACAGCACGACAAACGACAGAGACGATCGTTGGTGCTCGAGGGGATCGGCAGGATCAAAGGAGACCCACCCCATCCGCTGCCGCGTCTGTGTGTGCGTGAGACCAGTCAAAGTTTGTTTCGTGAGACTGAGGCTCCGTGAGACTCAGGCTCCGTGAGACTGAGCCTCCGTGAGACTGAGCCTCCGTGAGGCTCTGCAGCAACAGCGGCGGCGGCGTCACAGCCAGCACGAAAGCGCCATCGCACTCGGCACGGGGTCGCTCACTCATCTCATTACCCCCGACTCTCGTGTGCCCACACGCAACATCGCCACACCCAACATCAACACACTCAACATCAACACACTCAACGTCAACACACTCGACATCAACACACTCAGCATCAACACACTGAACATCAACACACTCAATATCAACACACGCAACATCGCCACACTCAACATCAGCACACTCAACATCAGCACACTCAACATCAACACACTCAACATCGGAACACTTACAATCAACACACTCAACATCAACACACTCAACATCGGCATACTCAACATCAACACACTCAATATCAACACACTCAACATCGGCATACTCAACATCAACACACTCAACATCAACACACTCATCATCGCCACACTCAACATCAACAAACTCAACATCAACACACTTGACATCAACACACAAAACATCAACATACTCAACATCAACACTCTCAACATCAACACACCCAACATCAGCATACTCAACGTCAACACACTGAACATGAACACACTCAACATCAACACACTCAATATCAACACACGCAACATCGCCACACTCAACATCAGCACACTCAACATCAGCACACTCAACATCAACACACTCAACATCGGAACACTTACAATCAACACACTCAACATCAACACACTCAACATCGGCATACTCAACATCAACACACTCAATATCAACACACTCAACATCGGCCACACTCAACATCAACACACTCAACATCAACACACTCATCATCGCCACACTCAACATCAACAAACTCAACATCAACACACTTGACATCAACACACAAAACATCAACATACTCAACATCAACACTCTCAACATCAACACACCCAACATCAGCATACTCAACGTCAACACACTGAACATGAACACACTCAACATCAACACACTCAACATCAACACACTCAACATCAACACACTCAACATCAACACACTCAACATCAACAGATTAACATCAACACACTCAACATCAACACACTCAACATCAACACACTCAACATCAACACACTCAACATCAACACACCCAACATCAACAGATTAACATCAACACACTCAACATCAACACACTCAACATCGCCACACTCAACATCAACACACTCAATATCAACACACTCAACATCGCCACACTCAACATCAACACACTCAACATCGCCATACTCAACATCAACACACTCAACATCAACACACTCAACATCAACACACTTAACATCAACACACTCAACATCAACACACTCAACATCAACACACTCGACATCAACACACTCAACATCAACACACTGAACATCAACACACTCAATATCAACACACGCAACATCGCCACACTCAACATCAACACACTCAACATCAACACACTCAACATCAACACACTCAACATCAACACACTTAACATCAACACACTCAACATCAACACACTCAACATCAACACACTCGACATCAACACACTCAACATCAACACACTGAACATCAACACACTCAATATCAACACACGCAACATCGCCACACTCAACATCAGCACACTCAACATCAACACACTCAACATCGGAACACTTACAATCAACACACTCAACATCAACACACTCAACATCGGCATACTCAACATCAACACACTCAATATCAACACACGCAACATCGCCACACTCAACATCAGAACACTCAACATCAGCACACTCAACATCAACACACTCAACATCAACACACTCGACATCGGCATACTCCACATCAACACACTCAATATCAACACACTCAACATCGGCATACTCAACATCAACACACTCAACATCAACACACTCAACATCGCCACACTCAACATCAACACACTCAACATCAACACACTTGACATCAACACACACAACATCAACATACTCAACATCAACACTCTCAACATCAACACACCCAACATCAGCATACTCAACGTCAACACACTGAACATCAACACACTCAACATCAACACACTCAACATCAACACACTCAACATCAACACACTCAACATCAACACACTCAACATCAACAGATTAACATCAACACACTCAACATCAACACACTCAACATCAACACACTTAACATCAACACACTCAACATCAACACACCCAACATCAACAGATTAACATCAACACACTCAACATCAACACACTCAACATCGCCACACTCAACATCAACACACTCAACATCAACACACTCAACATCAACACACTTAACATCAACACACTCAACATCAACACACTCAACATCAACACACTCAACATCAGCAATGCCCCTAACTTTAAACGCGCACCAAAACACATCGTGTGCCGGCGAAAGCCCCTAGTTGAATACCGGAGTGTAATTGCTTTTCATTTGCTTTGATTGTGTTCGCTTCTAAATAGATTACAGAATGCATTTCTCTTTTCGCGATTTGTTTCATTTTGTGTCTACTCTCCTCTTGTTCTCGTTGTGATCCAGGGCATTCCCTTTGACAAAGCGACGTCTATTCTCAATGAGCCCTAACCTGGTTAAAAGTAACACGGGGGCTTTTTTTTTCAAGTGATATACAGAATAACACTGAAGACGCACGTACAATTGATCGCTTACCCGGGCTGGGAAAGTCAGAGTTTTATGGGCCGGAACGCTGAGTCGGAGTGTGAAGGTTTTACGTACTGTTGTGTTGTTGTTCTGCCGTGTGAGAGTGTGTGTGTGCTGTGCGTGTCGTTGGGAGTGGTAGCGTAGCGGTTGGCGCGCTGCGCTATGAACCTTGCGGCAACGACATCGATGCCCGCTCACGGCCACCAACACCAAGTGGTCCATTATTTGAACCGGTCCTTTGGCCCTCCCCTAGGTCGACTCAGCCTCAAATTAACACCTGGCTCACTGTGTGAACGTCGCCGCTATGGAGCCAGAGGCGGCCGTGCGTGTGCCGTTACCGGCCTTCAGAGGCGCTCGCAAAAAGCACTTGCCCCAACAGTCTATTCAGGCTATACGGGGGGAAGCGTTGCCTTTGTGTTGTGTGTCACGCAATGCAATGCCGCTGACGGTCTCACGCCGCGCCTCTCGCGCCTTGCCCCCCGTCGCCGCATCGAATTCGCGAGCCCGACGACGTCGATTCTTACCCGCACGGCCATAAAACGCTTCGCTCAAGTAATCTCGCGGAGCGGGGCAAAAAAAACGTGTAACAATGCAATTAGGAGGCGATTCAGCGCGTGCCAAAAGCAGCACGTTCTGACGGATTACGACACCTACCCACCCCACCCACCTCGCTCGCCGCCCCCCCCCCCGCCCCCCCTCTCGTACAGCCCGCAGCCAGCACCCCCTCCCAGTTACCCCACCTCTGCTCCCGCGGACGGAACCCATTGAGATGTGAACGCGGCGCGGTCACGTTCTGCGCGTTCGCCAGCAGAAAGTGAAGCGACCCCCCCGCCCGCCCCCGCACGCAGCACCACCTGCCTGTCATCTCTCTCGTTCCGCGTTTGCTCGGTGGGCTTTGTTGAGAACCCCCCCCCCCACCTAATCCCGTGCACGCTTCGTTTACGCCGCAGCCGTGAAAGTAACTTAAGTTGTTTTATCTTTATTTATTGATTCACGTTTCCACGCGAGAGAAGGACGAGCGGCCGATTTACGCGGAGACTGAACGAGCAAAGGGATACTTTAGTGGTGGTGGTGGTGGTTGTAGTTATTGCAGCAACTGTGATTACGAAGCCAGGAGGGTAAGGCGGCGGATGAAGAACAGAGGCGGAGGATGAAACTCGCTTCCACTGCTAGCGTAACAACTGAATTGGACAAACAACATTGTGGCTGGCTCTTCCGTCAGCAAAGAGCGATGCCATAAAAAAGGGGCAAATGAAAGAGGAGGAGGAGGAGTGCGCAGTAGTCGCGTGAGGCTGCTGTGCTAAGCCCCCCGTGAGCTGTCAAACGTCATTACACGCTGCGCAAAACGTCCGCAAACCCCATTCAAACGGAATTCATGGGTGCTGTAAGTGCCGTGCATTGAAAGTGGGGGAAGGGGGGACACGGGGATGTTTTATTTTTCTTTCTCTGTCTCTTTCTCGCCCGTCCTGCTGCCAAATGGTGCTTTTTTTCTCTCCTGCCAACATCAATTTCACGTATAGCTGCACGTGCGTGTGTGTGCTGTGTGTGGGGGGGCGGTGGTTATAGCGGTTAGCGCGCTACGCTATGAACCCGGAGACCCGAGTTCGATTCCCGATCACGGCCAATACCAGTGATGGTTATCTGAACCGGTCCTGGGCCATCCCCTAGGTCGACTCAGCCTCTAATGAGCACCTGGTGCGGTGTGTGAACATCGCCACTAGGGAGACAAAACCGGTCGGGAGTGGTGCTGGCCACCCACCCCCCTCGTGTACCGTTCCAACCTGCATAGGTGCTCGATAACAGCATTTGCCCCAACAGTCTGTTAAGGCTATAGGAACGATCTTTTTCTATGTGTGTGGTGTGTGTGTGTGCTGGTGCATGTGGTGTGTGCGCGTGTGCGCATTTCTGCGGGTGCGTGTGGTGTGTGCGCGTGTGCGTGTGCGCATGTGTGCGGATGTGTGCGGATGCGTGCGGATGCGCGTGGTGTGTGTGCTCGCAAAGCAAGAGCAGTCAACAAGGGTCGGACCCTTCTCCTTACCTTTAATCCAAAGGTACTGGGCGCTTCTCAACGTCGCGAGTCGCCGAGCAGGAAGAATGGGCATAACATGCGTCGGCGGGGTGCTTTCACTTTGCAGGGAACAGACCGCACACCACAAGACACTTGTTTGGTTGTACGGGAGACCAGGCGAGGGCGATCCTTCAAAAGTCAGCTGAGGCAAGCCGAGCGGGCGAGCTCTCGAGCGCGGACGTCTATCGCTGCGATTGAGCTTTCACCCTTCGTCTCGCTTTCCAACAGCCCACGGCTCTCTCCGACGCTCTCCTTTTTTATTGTTTCCCGCTGATCTTGGTATTGTTCAGTTCCCGCGAGCAGGATTCAATCCCAGCAACCCGCTACCGATCCAGTCGCGTCGAAAGCGCTGGCTCAGCTCGTCGCAACCTGATGTGCGATGATGATGACGACGACGACGATGATGATGATTATTATTACGACGATGTTGATTCTGATGATGTTGCTGCTGATGGTGATGTCTTTCACGAGGAGCGCCTTCCCATCGCTGCGCGACTCCCCGCCGCGTCAAGCAAAAGGGGGGGTCCCACGGCGCTCTCCCCGGCCGTAGCGTGCCGGGCAGGACGCTCCCTCCTCTCCCGGTGCGCTGTCCCACGGTGGAGGGGGGGGGGAGCGAAGGGGATGGGGGTGGTTGAGAAGCCGGAGCTATCCCTCGCCGGTCTTGCTACTCGCACCCCGTCTCTTCTCGCTGTCTTCTTGAAAATCGCGCTCTCTCTCCCCCTCGCCCAGAACGGAGAGCGGAGGTGAGAGAGAGAGCGAGCACACACACAGGGGTTAAACGCGACGCGGCGATGTGTGTGTGTGCGCGCGCGCGCTACGCGCGCGAATCGATGCTGCTCTCTCGAGGCGGCGAGCTCAGCTCTCTGCCGAGCTCATCTCGGACCGTGCATCTCACACGCGCCTCCCTGTGTGTCTCTCTCTCTCCGCGTGTCTCCCTCCCTCCCCCTTGCTCCTCCCTCCCTCTCTGTGTCTGTCTGCCCGCCCCCTGCCTCTGCTCCCTCCTCCTTCTCTAGTTAGTGCAGGAGCGCACGACGCCGCGCCTCTGCCGCCGACCCGAGCCGATCTGAATACAGATGAGACATTTCGCCGCGTTTTTTCTCTCTCTCTCTCTCTCCCCTCTAATCGCCATCCCTCCCCTCCCTCTATCCATCCCTCCTCCCTCCCCGTGTGAGCCCGCGCGCTCCCTCTCCCTCCAGCTGCCAGCAATAGGCGTTGCGACATCACGTCATCAACAAGTCGCGACAAATAATGTGGTCCAGTCTGCCTCGACAGCGGAGACCATTATGAGACCATTCATGCGTGCCCCCCCCACCTCTCTTCCATCCATCTTCCATCACTCCCCACACTCCATCTTACGGCATACCTCTCTCTGTAGACCGAGGAATGGATTAGTGGGAGGGAAGGGGGGGGGGTACGGGTGGGGTGGTGGTGATGGGGGGGGGACAACCGCCCCCCACCTGGACCCCATGTGTCTGCTACACAAGCCGCGACAACGTAGCGCACCAACTTGAAAAAAAGTCGCGCTAATCTCTCGATCGCTCTGTCGCCCGCGAGCTCAAAGCCCTCCCAAACGCGCGCTGCCACCGATGCTGCAGTAGCCGTGAGATACTCGTCTCGCTGAAACCGCTGCGCCGCACGGAGACACAACGAGGACATTAACTCAGAGCCGATGAAGGGGAAAATACGGAGGCGGCGGCGGCGGCGGAACGAGAAAACGCGAGAGCGTCGCTGTTTAATTGTGCGTCAAAGTTTTGCGTCAGGCCACGAATTAAAGCGACGCGTTTCGCTCCTTATCTCGAGTTCGGGTCGGGCGCTGTTAGCTTCGATGTTGCTGGCTCCGTCTCGCGAGTGTGGCGATGAAAACCCTCCAATAATTATGCGCTTATCGCGGACGGCTCGATACTTTAAAAACAAAATTAAACAAAATTTTAGCCGCGCTTTCTCAATTATATGAGAACGCCTGTTGAGAAACTGTCGTGTAACGGCGGAATAATACATCTGCAGCGAGCGCGAGGTTTTATATTGGTCGCATTGCCGTCTCTCCACACAGTGTGGTGTTCAGGCTTTCACCGAGTGACACTCTGCTGCCCTTTTAAGGAAGCGAACATCATCATCACCAGCAGCAGCACCAGCAGGAAGTCTAACATCATCATCATCACCACCAGCAGCACCAGCAGGAAGTCTAACATCATCATCATCACCACCAGCAGCACAAGCAGAAAGTCTAACATCATCATCATCACCATCAGCAGCACCAGCAGGAAGTCTAACATCATCATCACCACCACCAGCAGCACCAGCAGGAAGTCTAACATCATCACTACCACCAGCAGCACCAGCAGCATCACTGCGAGGAGTAGACCACGTGCGTCTGGCGCGCGCGCGAGAGATGTAAATGCTGCGCGGAAATTACGAGCGGCAGACTTTTGCAAATGAGCATCGAGACTTGGAACAAAGAATCTTTGGTGTCACTGCTGCCGGCTTTCAGACTTGTATGAGGAAAATAATAATACTGCTGCTGCTACGAATAGCTTGAGTAAATAATGCACGGTATTTTGTTGACCCACTTTGCTGCGGATGAAGGGTTGTTCCACGCCGTGTCTGTAATTACGCGGGTTGTTGGACCATACTTCACCGCCCTGGTCAATGCAGGTTGCGATGGGGGAGTGGCGGCATTCACTAAACTTTAACGACGGCATCTCGTTAGACAGCGAGCGGGTGTTGACGAGCGGTGGCGCAGTAATTAGCGCGCGCTGTGTGCTATGAACCGGACGAAGTGAGTCACATTTCGTGGCCACGATTAACATCAGTGGCGAGTGCTAGACACGCGAACCCATCCGGCGATCTCCTTCACCAACACGCGAATATCCCTTGGAAACGAACTCGCTATTGTCGCATCGTGGATGTGTATGCCGGCTATCGAGCCGTCAGCGAGTACCTACTGTATTAATGCAGCCGTGTTACATTGTCCAGGGCTGATAGCACACCGCACCAGCCGCTCATTTCAGGCGAAGCCGACCTAGAGGAAGTCAGTCACAGAAGGATCTTGCCACCGACACAAATTTGTATCGACAGGCGCTCGACTCTCCATCACGTCCACACACACAAAGACAACCAGATTCCATCCACGTGCGCTTCGTCAGAGCGCTCGCTGCTCGCCGATTAACTATCTGCAGCACGCGGAGGAGTTGATGCAGAGAGGAGTAATACAGGGAGGAGTGTTACAGGAAGGAGCGATGCAGTGTATATGGAGGTAGGGCCCACCGATGTATATCGGAGTGATACAGTATCGGATTCAACGCATAGTTACGCAATGGGGAGTGATTCAAGGAGGAGTGACGTAGGGAAGAGCGATGCACACGTGTCTGCATCTGAGTAGGAGACACTCGCGCTCGTTACGTGCTGCACACGACGGGTTAATGCAGTCCCCCCACCCCCCCCCCCCCCCCTTCACAACCCCAATTCAGTCGGTGTGGCCACATCGATTTTACATAAATTTACAGCCGTATCCGGCCATGGGGCTTCGTGGGCGGGTGGTGGTGGTGGGGGTGGTAGTGGGGGTGGTAGTGGGGGTGGTGGTGGTGGTGGTGGTCGGGGTGGCGGCGGTGGGGGTGGTGGCGGTGGGGATGCAGCCTTGCTGCCAGGGCTGCACAATGCGAGTCGCCGCTCATTTGCATCGCAGTGAGTGTGGCGAGGGAACCCCGTAATTAAAGAGAGGGGGGGTGTCCACGTTCACCGCCCACGTGCGTGGAGTCGTCGAATCTCAAGAGCCGTCGCCACCTGGCAGGGTCCAAGTCTAGCCACGGGGAAGAACGGAGCGGACGAGGAGTGACACCGGAGAGCCGCCGGAACCCAATCTTTACGTGCACTCTGATACTCGGAGAGTCAAGCTTCCTTGCCCTTGACACTGGCAGTGGTTGATTGGGGCAGCCTCATATAGGCAGTAATCAAGTGCTGCAAGCGACAGGCAACAAAATCAATCAGGAGAACAATATTCGCTCTGTAGGCAGTCAAGGGGAGGCAAAGGAGTCCGGCCCCCCAAGCGATCCCTCCTCCTCCCCTATCTCTCCTGCCTGAATCTGTCTGTTCCTATCCCGCACAATAGACCAAGACAAAGATCACCCGTATAGCATTGACGGACTGTTGGGGCAAGTGCTGTTAGCGAGTAGCACCTGTGAAGACCGACGCGGCACACTCGAGGGGGTGGGTGGCAAGAACCACACCCGGCCACCTTTGTCTCGATATTTACATATCGCTCCAGGTACTTGTTTGAGGCTGAGTTGACCTAGGGAAGGACCGGTTCAGATAGTCGTCACAGGCAGCGGGAATCGATCTCGGGTCGTCAGGTTCGTGCAGCAGCGCGCTATATAAACAAAATCAAAGACAAAGATCCCCCGTATAGCCTTAACAGACTGTTGGGGTAAGTGCTGTTAGCGAGCACCAGGTACTAATTTAAAGCTGAGTCGATTTAAGGGAAGTCCAGGACCGGTTTAGATAATCGTCATTGGTGTTGGCCGTGAGCAGGAACCAAACTCGGGTCGCCAGGTTCGTAGCGCAGCGCACTAATCGCTACACTACCGCTCCCCAACATACACATACACATACACGCGCATAACCACAACGCGCATGCTCACATTCCTACTTCCATACACGTATGCTCAAGTCTGCTCACACGTATCGATACACACCCGTAACACACTCACGCGTCATCACGGTCAACAACAACAATCACCTTTCGCCACTAAGTGACGGTGACATCACGGCGTTAATGCCAGGCTAGGCACACACTATGGCCACATCAAGTGTCGAAGGCTCACTGCTGGAAGGAGGTCAACGGGACCGACTGAGGTGTTGCTGGTTAACTGTCTGAGATGGTTCACAGATGAACCACCTTGGCGCCCCACTGTGATTTATCCGCCCGGCGCTCCACTCGTTGTTGTGAGCATCGCTCCTCTGCCGTCCGCTGTTGCTGGAGGGTGTCTGCCTCCAACTATCCAGTCGCGCCCTTCACGGACCTCCTAAATAGAGGCTGATCTTTGCACATACGCGCCGCACACTCAAAGGCAATAAATAAGCCCTCATATTGCCTTTAACAGACTGTTGGGGTAAGTGTTGTTAGCGAGTAGCGCCTGTGACGGCCGGAATGGCACACGAGGGGGTAAGTGGCCAGCAAGCCGCCCGGCCACTTTTGTCTCCCTAGTGGCGATGGTTACACACCGCACCAGGTACTCATTTGAGGCCGAGTCGACCTAGGGGATACCCAGGACTGGTTCAGATAATCATCACTGGTGTTGGCAGCCGTGAACGGCAAACGAATTCTGGTCGCCGGGTTCGTAGCGCAGCGCGCTAACCGCTACCCTACACATATCCGCAAACAAACACGTACACACACACACAAAACTCACGCACGCTCACACATACCTGTACACACGTCCACCGCATACCCACGCACGCGAAGATCGTCCGCCCTGGCCCCCCTGTGGCTGAGCCGCGTGGGCTTCTGGAGCGCAACGCTTCGCTCCGCGATCGCCGCGGTGGCGAGCGGCGCGCCGCTTAAGCGACCAGCAGGCGCGAGCGCCCATGCGTAATTCTGCCACTCGATCGCATCCCGAATTGGTATGCGGCGAGGCGCCCATAAACAAACTAACGACCTGCCAGGCCAGGATTAATTGCACGGCTAATGTGGCACGGGGAGGCACATCCGTGACCCCGTCAGGTATTTTTTTTTTCCCCCCCCGCAGGAGTTTATGCAAAAAAAAACGCCCTCTCCTGCTTTAATGCGCAAAGCGACAGTCGAGCAGCCACTATCGCCCCACACGGTGCGATATTTGTTATAAGTTATGTGCAGTGGGTCGCCCCCTCTATCCCCGATGCTTTCGCTGGGGGGGGGGGGGGGTGGTTCGTGTTTCCAAATTGATCGGCGTGTCGCTTGGCTGCATGCGTACGCACGGACGAAACGTCACGTCTCGG